AATAGTACCCAAAATAGTAATATTTTAAAAATTCAAACTTGGGAACTGCACTTACATGTCCTTAGCGAAGCTATTTGTGTAATTTGTAATTTATTTATTTTATTGCATCACCTCGTATCCCGTACAAACATGGACCCTGTTAGGGTTGCGTTGGTTCAAATAACACGTTTGAGACTATTATGACATTGATATGCCTTAATGACAGCGGCAAACTTTACAGATCTTATTTTTTCCCGGCTTTATTATGATGAAGGTAGACAAAGAATTGTGAATGAAAACTACTTTCTTATCCATTATTGTTAACATATTTTTTATGAAAACAAAGTATATTTAATTAAGTTGCAAAAAATATAAACAGCAAAAAATATATTGCGTATTATGTTGCCAAATTTCATAAAAAGTTTACTTAATTTGTCATTTCTATTACAGCTCAAAAAACGCTCCAAATCTTCAACATCGAGATGAAATCAAAGATGAAGGCGCACACCATGACTGAGGACGTCGTATTCTGGAAGTGGATCTCTCTCAACACTCTCGCCCTTGTCACCAAGATGTCAGTGTACCACTGGTCAATGGAGGGAGATTCTACACCGGTGAAGATGTTCGATCGCCATTCATCGTTGGCTGATTGCCAGATTATCAACTACAGGACTGATCCTAAGCAGCAATGGTTGCTGCTAGTCGGTAAGTCACACAGACTTGTTATCATGCTGGCCAGTGTAACCGGCTAAAGTAACGCGAACGACAGCCACATTGGCTCTAATATGATTACTGGTCGGTCGTCTTTAGTTTCTCTTATGACACTTCGTACTATTTGTTTTTCTATGTTTTTTATATTGCATTATTAGGTATAAAAGTACGTGTTTTTTCTTCTTTTTTTTCAGTTTGATTTTTTAATATTGCACTTGTTCGATATAATTTTCTTATACTCGGAATTGAATTTTATTAGTGAAATTGTGTTGTCAATTTAAAGCATATCGCTGTATGTCCATACCCTACGGGTAACAAAGATAAATAATTTTGTATACAAATAAACGACGAGGCTTACGAGAATGTTTAAAAGATAAACGCGGTAGCGCCGCTTGCCAACTGGGCACAGTTCACACTACACACCCATCGTCGGCCACATGTGACGCAAAGGTGACGTCACACCTTTTGCGCTTTAGGTTTTTGATTAAAACATCAGAATAACAAACTGCTGCACTGTATGTTCCATGTAGATCTAATACGACTTCGCGTGTCGTTTTGTTAAATCTTGTCCAACAACATTTTTCCTCACCTGTTTTCTTTACCCATTGAAGCAAGCGATAATGGTGTTAATTTGTAACCTAACCTACGTATGGTTCCAAAATGACTCGAGATGTAACATAGATCGATAGGTGAAGTGAGGAGTAAGACTTTCTAGAGCTTCCTAGAGACCATCGCCACTTCTAGACCGATGATACACAAAGTGTGGTGTCCACGGCTGCAAACAAAATGATTGGAGTGCATGAGATCTAAAAGTGATCCACGAGTGTGGACTCACTTAAGCAGGTCGTGACCAAGTAATAGTATAATAATCAACATTAGTATTTTATTTATTTTGGCACAGTTACAAGATACAAATTATGTAATACAAGTAAAACTCTGAGACTAACCACGAACAAACAAATTTGTAGCTCAATAACAACCGCGCACAACATGCAAATAACATTTTGCAACTTAATGAATTTGGCTAACTAAGTCGACAGAATGTGTATATATACTTTAAATAAAATTACTTCACTTTGTGAGGTGTTCTCGTGTCTCCTTATAGTCCGGGCTTTTTATAATTTTTACAAACGTGTTGGTGCTCTGGCGGAATATATCAAGATTTTTACATAAAACATACAGCCTGCATAAACGTATGGGAGGGCTGTTATGTGACACTTTATTTTTTGCCACCAAAAGCAAATGTTGCCTACGATTAGACCTATTAGTGACCTTCAGCGAAACATGACTTATGATATCAGCATCTAATTTGGAATTTACTGTTTTCTCATCCTATTAAGTAGCTCCAACTGAAAACCAGCGTTACAGCAGTCGAGTTGTGACATATATGCTGAGTTGGATCCATATCATATTTTTTATTCCAAGTTTGAGAATCTTTGCTCCAGACTGACTTAGTTACTGTACATGATTTTAAAAGTATCTGTCTCTCTGATTCCCAGGTATCTCAGCGCAGCAGAATCGCGTAGTGGGCGCGATGCAGCTATATTCGGTAGAGCGCAAGTGCTCGCAGCCGATCGAAGGTCATGCCGCCTCATTCGCCACCTTTAAGGCCGAAGGCAACGCGGAACCTTCCACGCTGTTCTGCTTCGCCGTACGTACTGCTCAAGGCGGAAAATTACATGTCATTGGTGAGTTTCTTGATTTTACAGCTTTTTTAAACTTTCTTTTCGTTCGCTAATACTGTGGCCATATTCTTTTATGGACTGTCTTAGAAAGTGACAGGTATTTAAGAGATGGGCAGTAGCAATTTCTCGTGTTAATCTTGCAATCTACCAATAACAATCCACGTGCGATTATAGTCTTTACGCTGTGGACGATGCGTCAGGTTGCCTTCTGATCAGATCGACATTTGACCTTTGAAACCATAACACGCCAATATTCTATCGACAGAGGTCGGACAAACACCAGCGGGCAACCAACCATTCCCAAAGAAAGCAGTCGACGTTTTCTTCCCTGCGGAGGCTCAGAACGATTTCCCAGTAGCTATGCAAGTTTCGCCCAAGTATGACGTCATCTACCTCATTACGAAGTACGGCTACATACACATGTATGATATCGAGACGGGAACGTGTATTTACATGAATAGGATTTCCTCGGATACTATATTTGTTACTGCACCACACGAGGCCACTGGTGGTATTATCGGTGAGTGTTTGTTTTGGATTTTCTTAATTTACTTTTCAGCAAATAAGAAACTGTCATTTATTTTTATGTAACGTGAGAGTGATGGGAATTTAGTAGCAGTAAAGCTCCTTGTGAAAGAGTTCGTCCAGGGAAGTACACCTTACCTTCTGCCACCAAGCAGTAATGTGAGCATTACTGTGTTTCGGTTTTGAAGGGTAAGGGTGCTGATGAAATTACAGACACATGCGACGTTTCAATTTACGAGTATGTCTCAGAGTGATGGGCGCAGAGACAGTGCACCTCAGATCTTTGCAATTGAAAGTTCTGAGTGGCACTGCAACTGTTTTGGACAGGCGTATCATTTAAAATCAGGCGCATGACTTGCTCGTCTCATCATTTAGTATCATGAAAAAAAAACCATTGACTTTCTAGGTGGGTTAAACACTGCCTATTTTACTGTACTGCATTGTGGTGAACACAGGACTTATACAGTTTTTACCTAGTGATATCAATGTATAATGACTTGTTGGTTATACACCATACGAAGGTCTCGGGTTACCTATCGGTTATTGCCATGGAATATTGGTAAAAACATTAATGCGAATGAATGCATACGGCATCCCATAGTACACAACAGCACGATTGTTTATATGATTAAACCACTGTAATTGAATGCGTTTTAACCTTAAACCAATCAAGGAATCTTTGCTAAATTGTTACAGTCGGGTTGTTTCGATATAATTGTTTTACCCCGATAGTCAGTTCAAGAGACCCCATAAATTACTACTTATTCCATTAGCTCACTGACCCAAATGTGCCTTAACGTCCGTTACCAGATCACCGACAGTCGTTTCCGTCTTGTCTCTTCCTGGCGCCTGCAGAATACCAAACGAATTATAAAACCAGCCATTGGCACTCTATCGACACGCAACTGAGTTGATTTAAGATTAGCAGAATTGGGGCACAGTTTATTCGTGTGACCACATGACGTTATTATTATTTTCATTGTCTCTCTGTACAGGAGTAAACCGCAAAGGCCAAGTGCTATCTGTGACCGTGGAAGAAGACTCTATAGTTCCATACATCAACACGGTGCTTCAAAACCCCGAACTTGCCCTGCGCATGGCTGTGAGGAATAACCTGGCTGGTGCTGAAGACCTGTTTGTCAGGAAGTTTAACATGCTGTTCACTAATGGACAATATGGGGAAGCTGCTAAGGTTTGTACATTGCTGAATACTACTATCTCAAAGTAGAGAATAGCTCTCAAATTTGATAACGAAGTAGGGGTCATTATGTTGGGTAATGACCATGAAATTACAGCACTGGAAAACTAACGCAAAGCCTCTACACGGTGCTTCGAAGAGCTGGGGTCAAATAAACTAAAAATTAAAGTTACGTGTTGGGTGAAAATAGATAGAGATATGTAATTATGTAAGGCGTTGTATTGGGGAAGTATATGTACAATCCTGGAAGAAAAACTCTTTGACGACTTATTTCATACACACTGAAATAGTTTTTTGTTTCCACCAGGTGGCAGCGATGGCACCCCGCGGTATTCTGCGTACGCCGCAAACGATCCAGCGGTTCCAGCAGGTGCCCACGCAGCCGGGGCAAACCTCGCCCCTGCTGCAGTACTTCGGTATTCTTCTCGATCAAGCACAGCTTAACAAGTTCGAGTCACTTGAACTCTGTCGCCCTGTCCTGCTACAAGGTAGGTACAAGTTTAATTCATTTCAAGAAATGTATTTTTTATAACATCTCCAATGTGATGTAGTGTATTAGATATTAGAGATCGCATGATATGCATATGGGTGCTGGCATTTCTGTTTTACACATTTAAATTCAAACCATTTGTCATACATATTAGATAATTTTTAGACATTAGACATAGCCAACAAAAAAGTTCAATATAGTGAACATTTCTTAATATGTTTCTTTTAATCAACCCTTATACATACCACAACTGGGCACAGATTGCCTTTAAATATTCCTAAGACTTAAACTTCCTGCACTCGAGGCAAGTTTTCTCTCAACTACACTACCGTAGCTTAATAGACCTCTTATTTTCTCCCTCTTAGGCCGCAAGCAGCTGCTAGAAAAATGGCTAAAGGAAGAGAAGCTAGAATGTTCAGAAGAACTTGGTGATCTCGTGAAGCAAGTGGACCCGACACTCGCGTTGTCCGTGTATCTGCGCGCCAATGTAGCCAGCAAGGTCATCCAGTGCTTCGCCGAAACTGGACAGTTCCAGAAGATTGTACTCTATGCTAAGAAGGTAATTAACATATTTTTTATTATTATTGATACAAAGATGAAACAATACAATGACAAATTCCTTCGATCTGACTGGACTTAACAAGCATCTGTTGTTATGCCGAGGCCACCCACCGCTCTTAACCAAACTGATCTATAGAGCGAGTCAGCAGATCTTAAGAATTTCGGTATGTGTTTGTTACATATAAAAAAAAAACACGCAGAAAATGCCCTAAGACGTGTCAAGGAGTGGCTGTCGGGAAACCTTCTAACGATTAACCTAGACAAAACAAAAGTTGTCCAATTTGACATTGCTAAAATTTCAAAACCAAAATTACTTCCTCCTGTCTTAAGAATCCACAATTGTTCCACTATAGACAATAACAATTGTGACTGTAAGCCTCTCGACACCGTACAAACCATAAAGTACCTGGGTGTACACCTAGATGATAGACTTGACTGGCACGTCCAAATTAAATCCCTTTCAACCAGAGTCAGAAGCCTCATTTACCTTTTCAAAAATCTCCGCCACTCAGCTGACCACAAAACCCTCTTCATGGTATATTTAGGACTATGCCAGTCTGTCATCTCATACTGTATCCCGGTATGGGGTGGTGCATCTAAGACCTCTCTTCTAAAATTGGAACGAGCTCAGCGGGCTATCCTCAAAGTTATGACCTTTAAAAAACGAACATTCTCAACAGCAAACCTATACAATGAATGTAAAGTACTTTCAGTAAGACAACTGTTTGTGCTAAGGACGCTTCTACGCAAACACCGGTCAATACCTTATTCTACTGCCACTGCAAACAAACGAAGGGGTGCACAAATGTGTCCTCCATTAAAATGTCGCACCGCATGGGCCAAACAACAATACAATGCTCTAAGCTGTAGCTTATATAATAGAATGAACAAACTAAGTCCGATTTACTCCCTACCGAAACACACACTTAAAAAAGTACTTCAAGAATTACTTTTAACACTAAATTACAATGACATAGAAAATATGTTAAAATGAAGAAAACCACATCATTCCATTCACTCCACACACTTACACCCAAAACACACTTCAATTAATACACACTACAATAATTACAAGGTAAAACTCTTATTACAGTACACTTATTTCAATACACTTATTTACGTATACTTATTTGCTACTGAAGCTATTCGTGTGTACTATTTAAGCACTCAATGTTGAAGGAATCACTAACTCCTAAGATACAGGATTACCTAGTTTAGGAGTTAGGGAATCACAAATATTGGCATTTCTTTACTATATTTTTATGTTTCTTTTTATGTTGTGCCTTGTAATGCCATTGTATTTCATTTTTCTTTGATCAATAAATTATTATTATTATTATATGTTTGATCTTTGTATTGGCTTTGTACGGTTTTTTTGCCGGTAGCGCGACGTAAGAAATTTGTAAAGTTTCTTCATTCCGCTAGGTGCCTTTACAGCTACAAGTAATTGGCAAGAGATGTCGCTGTATGAATTGCATCAAAATGTTTATTATTATGCGCATATACACAAATCACGTGTTGGTAATGCAACAGCATTGGTTTTTGAAGCCGGGTTCGAAATTATCAAGATGTTTATTACCTTTGATAATTATCATGACAATATTTGATAAATTTACGATGATTATCCATGGTGATTCATAGTTTTATATCTTCAATATTTGATTAGCAATAACAAGGAGAAAACTAAATAAACACTAAATAATCTTTGGGAAACCGTTTTGGTTTGTGACTCTCTGTCCTATTGACATTTGACTGGAATGTCTCTGATACGAACACGTGACACATAATTGCTAGCGGTGGCATTTTGTTGTTCCAATAAATTTTATTATCAACATATATATTATTATTATGTTAATTATCACTTTGAATCCTGGTTTAAAGCCTCCACTGACCTCAAGAAGACAAACAAGTTTTAACGTTCCTTTCCCAATTTTAGGTCGGCTACACACCTGACTACATCTTCCTCCTTCGCCAAGTGATGCGTACGAACCCGGAGCAAGGAGCTGGTTTCGCAGGAATGCTGGTGGCTGAAGACCCTCCTCTGGCCGACATCAATCAGATCGTCGATGTGTTCATGGAGCAGAATATGGTACAGCAGTGCACTGCATTCCTGCTGGACGCCCTTAAGAACAACCGACCTGAAGAGGGGCCTTTACAGACAAGGTCGGTACACTGTTTGTTTTGAATGTAGCAGAACTTTTGGTGCTCAGTCAGATAGTTTATTGTATGAATTCATACATAGTGTCCCAAAAATGCTTTCTTTGGGATAAGAGTGACACGACGCGACTTGCGCGAGAGTGACTTAATCTCAATGCGAAAATAGCAGTATCTCGCGCTTAACGTCGCTCTCGCGCAAGTCGCGCACTGTTGTTCTAGCCCTACAGAAGTAATAGAAATTTAAATTTGGTACATTTTGTGTCGCAGGAACCTTTAATTTATCGGTCAATCAACTATTCTTTGTACATCTGACAGAGAATTTCGAATAGAAAATTGTAAATAAATATTTTTAAAATAAGCAGTATTATTTACCTTATTTATTATAACATATACTAGGGTATTTAATTCTGTCATTGGCAGTGCAAATTTCTGTTTTATAACCAACGATTTCAGATTTTTAGCCACTGATAGCATAGATTTTGTCCCCTAAGTTACCCTTAGGTAAATAATTGTTAGAATTAACGAAATGCATATTCTTTATTTGAAAATGGTTATTTAGAGTGTATTACAATAATACTAGTTATGTATAAATAAAATTCAAGGCAATAAACTAATACACGTCAAATAAAGAGCAACTTTGTGTCTCCTATGTTACGAACAAACATTTTATAAGCTTATTTTTAAAATAATTGAAGGATTCGCCATAATGCAAAACTACTTTTGTGTTAATCTGTAAGTTATTATTAAGTTAATATTAACGAGCATAAATTTACAAAAAAAGAACAAAAGATTATGCCTAATATTCTAAATTTACTAATTAAATTTGTAGGGACATGAGTAACTTAAGAGACATTTCAGTAACTTAGAAGACCACAAGCTAACTGTCGAGGTACTGGTTACTAGGATCCAGGTTCATTAAAAGAAGGTTAGAAACAGAAAAAGACATTTATTGGCACAAACTAAGCTAAAATTGTAACGAAACACCGAAAACAGCTAAAACAATGATATGTTATAATAATAGAAATAATCAATCTTTTACTGACAAATAGTTATGTTATATTAAACCGTAAGAAAACAGCCTTCGTTTCTTAGAAAAAAATAACAATAAAATCAGTCTTAACTTATAACGGCTTATCATAAAGTAAAACTACAATCACAAAGTAGGATCAATTCTGATTGGTTATTTACAATAATGAGATCAATAATTATTTTTCAAAAACGTCTAAAGGTTCTTCAAATTCATAATAAATCAGATCATTCTTATTTAGCCTTTTGGGTTCAGGGAGATTTTTTACTATATCATCGAATGCGACGTATGCTATATCTTTTTCGTCTAGTATAAATTTTGACGCAGATTTTACAGCGCGAAGAAACATTACTTTAATCTCGCCATCGTCTTCAATATCAGTAATTGCCTTACATGCGTAAGTGTACATCTTATTTTTACCACCATGAACTTTAACTAGCAAAAAATCTCCATGACGTGGCTTGTTGTTCTTGTTCGAACAAGAAGGCTGGTTTTCAGCATCTTCTGTATCATCCGATCCGTAAACAATGTCATACATGTTTCTACGAGTCCCGTGTGAAGCAAGATCTGTGTAGCTTATTATATCAAGTGGTAGCTCTGAATTGGGTTGTGTTGATTTATAACGAATTAAAGGTACTTCATCTTCAGAAGACGCAGGAGACAAATGTTCGATAGGTTCTCGTACTCGTACTGGCCTATACACTTTCGGATCCATGCATTCACAGAATCCTCTCTTACAAAAGCAACTGAGAATTCCATGCTTGAATTCGCCGTATTTAGCCGTAAAAATTTGATGCATCTGCAAAGTGCCATGCAATCTTTCTATGTTTTTTGGCAGGTGTTCTTGCACATGATCTATATCTTCTTTTGTTACAATAAATAATTCAACTTTGCTGATTCCTTTTAAGGCGTCCGTGAATTGTTTCACATTTGCAATATCCTGTCCTCGAGCTACAATCCTATCTGCTGTCCGTTTCAAGTATCCTCCAATACCGTCCGCAGGACCTTTGCCGTGACCGGTCTCGAAGAAAGACCAGGTCACTGCTTCAAAACCATATTCATAAGGCTTCGTACAAGCCAAATAAAAGTTTTGTTTCTGTCGGTACTGGGTAAAAGGCCCGTCACTGAAGAAATGAAGTGTGTTTATTGCAGGAAAATTTGTTTTAATTTTTTGTAAAATGGGGTGGAAATGGGCCCAAATTGCAGCCGGTTGATGAAGATTGCAAGACGACACAGTACAATAGGATTGAGCGTGAATGTTTTTGTGTTGGTCTCGTGTGTAGACCATAACAGTGTGTAAGGATAGCTGCTGCCGGGACCCACCAAAATGATGCGCTTGTATTTCTTCACTATGCTTGCAATTATAATTCTCGCTGAAATCGGCAAGTATTACCACCTCATTCAACTCTAGTTCATCAATACAGCGCCTGAAGTTCTTATATTGAGTTTTCATGTTAAATACATGTTTCTTTAAAACTATCAACTCTTTCTCAAAGTCTTTTATCAAATCCTTTACTAAAACTTCTTTCTTTTCTTTTACATTTTTAATTGCCCTTGCATCTTTTCCATCTTTCGTGTACTTCTCCTCTTTCCTGGTCCATGCGTAAAAACTTACTTTATCTTCCATCTTCGTTTCATTATAGCTTGTTTTTTTTTCAGCACAAATTAGGCACAGTCCGTACATACAGTCCTTGATGGTAGATTCGCATACAGTATTGGATATTATTTGGCTAATCTCTTTTGTTTTTAGAACCTGTTTTGAGTGAAGTGCATTTGCCTTGAACATTGTGTTTGCATGAATTTTACATAGGCACATTTCTCGTCCGTCAATAGACGGTGATTTGATGTGCCAGGGTCGGTTACGCGTAAAATAGAAGTAAGAGCACGTCACATCCAGATTTTCTTGTTTAAACGTCTTGTAAAGGTTTTTCATCGAATCTAGGAGATATCTTTTTTGCCGTTTTTCTTTAGCTTTTGTCACAGTTTCATTTTTACCCGCAGTATTTCTGGACACATCGTCGCGGACGAAAAACTTTTGAATTTTAGTTTGTAGTTCAGTTTCGGAATCTTTTGATTTTATGTTAAATCTCATAGCCCCTGACATATTCAAGGAATCTTTTAACAGTTGACTTCGCAGGTTTGATGACTTAACAGTGGGATTAGCAAAAATTCTTTTCAGGATTCTTTTATCGTTATTTTTTTTCGTGTTCTTGTATCTGTCGCTTAAAGCACTAGTTAAAATTTTGTACTTTCTGTTTTCTTTGTCGCTGTCTTGATTATCTTTTTCTTGATTTTTATTTATAAGTCTTTGGTACCTTTTCTTGTATTTCTCGTACTTGACTCTTAATTTTTCATTTTCAGACAAAAGTTTTTTGTTTGCTTTGTACAATTTGGTTCTGTCTCTACGTACAGCCTTCCTTCCTCTTCTTGTGTCAGGAGTATTTGGACTAGACGGAGTAGGTGAATTCGACTCTTGTGCCCTGAGGGCTGCATATTCATTAGCAATCGGTGGTAGTGATGACGATCCGGCCGGTGTTTCGTTTATTACATTGGCAAGCAATTTTGCACGTTGGCGTTGATTACGTTTACGTAGCTTCCATATCATCCTTGCATTATATTTTTCTTTTGTGGATAAATCTCCAGTCAACCTTTTATTTTTGTGATAATGCTCTCTTAGTTTTCTTTTACTTTCCTCATACTTCTCTGGATTTTTCTTAAGTCTTTCTCGGTATCTTCTTTGCTTTTCAGCGGCTGTAAGAGCCATGCTACTATTGTATATCTGCAACTAATGAATTTGGTTAATTATGAAAAAAACTGCCCAAAAAACATATCGTAATTGAAAAAAGTAATTGCATTTAGCGTTTCTACATAGAACAAATCCTGAAACGAGTTACCATACAATTAAAATCTTAAAATTCAATTATAATGTCTCTAAAGTTACGGTCGTGTCCCCTAAGTTACCATTTGCTGTAACTTAAGTGACCAGTAACTGAGGGGACATTTTATAGGTTATACTTTAATATCATTGGATTATTTTCGATTAATACGTGACTGTTTATTAATAGTAGTATGCAGACACAAGTGAAACAATTAGCAACGTTTTTCTAAGTAAATTAATGAATATTTACCAATTTATATGCCGGAACTGTGGGGACACACAATAAACACACCTTCACCCTTGATTGACTTGCGCGGGAGTGAGGGAAACGCGGTGACGAAAACAAAATGGCGAAATAACATCACACCATTCTGAGACTTTAATGCTTCATTAGAGAACCACTAGAGACATCTATCTTTTAGTGATAAAAGCACATGCATTGTAACTTAGGGGACCGTCATATAATTCTCAATTCGGGGACACATCTCGTTGATTTTTTTTAAACACTGTGTATGTATATGTTCATCTACAGAAAATCTTGAAAATGGTTTTTGATTTCCAAAAATACAGTAGAATATTTTAAGAATGGTAGTTTTATACGGCTATAGAGAATTTTCGAAATGTGGCCTTAGACAGTAACTCAACTAACCACGGGGACAGGAAGATTTTGTATGGAAATCAGATTTTGTCCTCTAAGTTATTATAAAAATAATAAAAAATATTATCGATTTCATGTAAAACTATATTTTAAGGAAATAATGTGTTGTCTTAATTACTGTTTTTAAAATAATTGGTCAATAAAGTATTCATTTTTGCGAAATATGCGTACTTTTACCTTAGGGACATGGGAATGTACAAAGAATAGTTGATTGACCCATATATGAAAATCGGAATAATATTTTTTTTTTAATATTTTGTTATTTGCTAAGATTGTTGCCTCATATAGTTTATACCGAAGTATCATGGCGTGTTTTTAAAAGATCACATGACAAAGATGTAATGAGATCTTTTCTACACAAAAAATCTTCACCAACTAAACACCCAGCCCGTGCAAGCATGGTTTACTCCTAATACACTGTTCGTGGAGCAGAACAATAAATTTAAGTAACGCCAATTGGTCATATCACCCTTTTCCTTACTATGTTGCCGGCAGTTTAGTGCTTAACTATGTAGTTCAAATATAAAAACGGAAGATATTTGACGTCTAGTGGGGAATGTTAAAAAATGAGACGATTCTTAAGATATAAAGGGATTTTTTTTTATAATATCAAGTGACGGGACGAACGAGTCGTGCTCTGAGGGGCACTGTCACTGCGCACGACAGCCTGAGACATAAGTTTAGAAGTCCTGCCTGTAATTTCACCAGCACCCTTTCAAAACCGGAACACAGTAATGCTGACATTACTGCTTGGCGGCAGAAATACTTGCTTGGACAAACTCTTTCATAAGGAGCTCCACTGCTACTGAATATAAAATAAAATTGAAAATGAGACAATCTTGTTCCCAGGCTGCTTGAAATGAACCTGATGTCAGCACCGCAAGTGGCAGACGCCATTTTAGGGAACGCGATGTTCACGCACTATGACCGCGCGCACGTGGCGCAGCTCTGCGAGAAGGCGGGTCTGCTGCAGCGCGCCCTGGAACATTACACAGACCTGTACGACATCAAGAGGGCTGTTGTGAGTATCGCGTCTTATACAGGTCATCATCAACTAGTCCATACATAAATATGTAGTAATATGATGACGATGAATTTAAACTATCAAAGTTCCTTGTTTTATAGTTGTGAATAAATCTACGTTCAATTTCTAGAAACTCCCTGAAGTTTCTTAAAGTTAAAAGTGATTTTATCGAAAATTTGGACGACTAAGTTATGCTAAGAAACTATTTTTAACCGACTTTAAAAAAAGGAGGAGGTTTTCTATTCGACTGTTTTTTCTTTTGTATGTATGTTATGCGATAACTCCAGTTGTGAACCGATTTTGTACAACCGATTACAATGATGACTATTTAAAAAATATCTTCCTCAGGTCCATACGCATCTACTATCAGCCGAATGGTTGGTCACCTACTTCGGCTCTCTCTCCGTAGAAGACTCCCTCGAGTGCCTAAAGGCGATGCTGCAAGCGAACATTCGCCAGAATTTGCAAATATGCGTACAAATCGCTACAAAGTATCACGAACAACTCACGACAAAGGCCTTGATCGAGTTGTTCGAAAGTTTCAAGACTTATGAAGGCTTATTCTATTTCCTCGGATCTATTGTCAACTTCAGCCAGGATCCTGAAGTCCATTTCAAGTATATTCAGGTAGGGAAACTATTGAAAATTGTATTCATAATTCAAATTTCTTTTTGTTGTCGACCGATTTGATTTGATATCGTACGATTTATTTAGATTTAGATTTTTTTTCATTTTTATTCACAACACCCGAATCGAACGTCGAAATCTGTCGTGAATCCGAAGCGAACCGAAAAGACGTCACACCCGTACGATACAGAACAGAACCCAGTTATCGAATGAAAGTTACCGAACGTACTGATGAATTGTTTACAAAGCAAGAAAGAGATCTTTAAAAGTCTTAAAAATTTATATAAAAGTATTTACATTTGTCTTATAATTTATTTCATCGACTAACTCCGTGATAAAGATTTCGCATCCGATTCTTAATAGCTCGGAAAGCGCTCTTCGATTCGAGAACGATATCCAATCGAAGGATTTGGTTAAAATATCGAAGAGTTCTGAATAGGGGTCCTGACCTCTGATTTTTTAAATTTTTCTTAACTCAAACATACCTGGACAGACAGTTGGCGTTTCTTTATACTAACCAGTGTTCAAATTTTATGACTATTCAAAGTATTTTATTATAGTATTATTGTTTCCGGCATGGTAGTCGGTAACTAAAGCTTTTTTTGTTTTTTCAGGCCGCCTGCAAGACGGGTCAGATCAAAGAAGTCGAGCGCATCTGTCGCGAGTCGAACTGCTACAACGCGGAGCGCGTCAAGAACTTCCTCAAGGAGGCCAAGTTGCCTGACCAGCTGCCGCTGATAATTGTGTGCGACCGTTTTGACTTCGTCCACGACCTCGTGCTGTACTTGTACCGCAACTCACTGCAGAAGTATATTGAGATCTATGTACAAAAGGTATTATGTTAAACAAGTTGTTGCAATGCCAACGTCTAACACCTATTGTAATGTAAATTAATAGTGCCTCATTTTTTTCTACCACAATAGCCTTTAATTTAAGTACCAAACTCTTCTCATACATCTCTTTTAACTGCTCAGAACTGCCTCCGTGGCCGAACGGTTACCATGCTGGTCTGCCACGCAGAGGTCCAGCATTATATGCTCTATACTTCAGCACAATATGGTTAAATAACTTATTTATAATTCAACTGAATTTGAATGTAATTTGAATTGCAGCTGTAATTTTATTATTATCGTTTTTACTTAGACCTTTAAAAATAAATTAAAAAAATTTTAAGTTACAATATAGTTACAATTTATGTATTAATAGTTCGAAGGTTCTCCAAGTAAGGTTTAAAAATTAACAATTTAACAGGTGAATCCATCCCGTCTGCCAGTGGTGGTGGGCGGACTTCTCGATGTGGACTGCTCTGAGGATATAATTAAGAACTTGATCCTGGTCGTGCGTGGACAGTTCTCCACAGACGAGCTTGTCGCTGAGGTCGAGAAGAGGAATAGGTGAGTTTCCAGTGACCTTGGAAGATCGATTTGTTTATAGGATACAGCACACATAGCACATCTGCCATTATAGTGATATTAATAATCCCTTCAGAAGGTTTGCTGTGGTACTTACAGCACAGTTTTTCCTTTTTTTAGTACACGCTGCCATACGTTCCCATTATTCGGCACTTTCTTACTATGCACTATGCATATTGTATTGTTGTTTGCAAATAAATTGTTATTATTCGTTTTAGTTTGACAGATCTATGTCAAATTAAAACGGATTATTAGCATCAAACGAAATAAAATTCGTCAGATCATCGTTACGCAAATAAACATAGGTTAAATATTTTAATATTTTCGCTTGAGTAAAAATGAACACATAAGCAGCACAAACAATGATTTTTTTTCGATGATCACTAACAGTTACCATGTTTTCAAATGTTTAGAATTATGTTTTATATTCAGACTGAAGCTGCTACTCCCGTGGCTGGAGACGCGCGTACACGAAGGCTGCAACGAGCCGGCCACGCACAACGCTCTGGCTAAGATCTATATTGATTCCAACAACAATCCTGAACGGTTCCTCAAGGAGAACCAATGGTTAGTAATATTAGGATTCATGCTTTTTTAGAATAGGCCATCAAATCAGAGACCTTTAAAGCCAATCGTCAGTCGGTTGAATCGTGTCATTTACCATAACTTTATCCAATCGATATCAGTTGTGTAAGATACCTGGTGACCCCCCACCGTGTTTGAATATGGTAACCGCGCCTGCCATCCGTAAGGCCAACACAGTCATTCCAGTAGCATTAAATATTTATACCCTCTCCAACCATCGAATATCGAATCGGAAACGCATTAAGACATCACTAATTGATTAGTATTCGAGCTGTCAAAAGTAAAATAATGGTTGGATGGAGTATAGAAGAAACAGATTTTAACAACAGCGGTCAAATGTTAGACAAGTGCTTAATTAGAAGTAAACAAAATTAACAATAACACTATCAACGGCTTGCATCGTTGGCGCTGGCTGAGGAGGTCCCGGATTGGATTCTTGGTAGGACTAATTTGGGAAACTAATTTTTCCAATTTGTTTTGGTCTGGCTGCTCTGGGTGTGCCTTAAAATGAATTCCATTGCTCTAGTATTCATAGCACAAGGTATTCCCTAGTTTGAACCTGGCAGTTGGCTTGGTTGTTTAGCATATTGAACGATTTAATAGTTATACCAAGTGTGTTGGTTATCATAGTTTAAACTAGTAAACAGGAGACTTAATGTATTACATTTAGACTTTTAAAGCATTGTCAAAACAATTTACAATAATGTACCGCAAGTAAGAAGGTCTGAGATAACCTTACGCTATTTAAAAAACAATTAAACAAGTTATTGACTAGGAAATGAAACTATTTTTCCGGATTTAAATCGCGTATATATGGGACCTGTAAAGGGCCCGAAACGTCGGTTTGTTTGAAAAAACAAATATACGCGATTTAAATCCGGAAAATATAGTTTCATTTCCTATGTGGAACAATCGCGAAAACCTAAGAACTCTATAAGTTATTGACTAATAAAATGTACTATACAGTATCCGAATTGTGAATTTTTGACATTTGTATATTTATTTTGAAGTTATTCATGTTAGTGTTATTTTGATAGCTAGTTACCATTAAAATTAACCTGTAAACATGTAACTATTACTGCGTTTAAATTACTGACTGCACTCCCATGTAATATTTAAACTACTTCCGTGGCCAAACGGTTACCATGCTGGTCTGCTACGAGGTCCAGAGGTCCCGGGTTCGATTCCCGGGCCGGGAGAAATATTTGTTTGGCCTACATTTATTTCTGTCGTGAGTTTGGGAGTAATTTGTGGTTGTCTAAGTGTGTGTCTATGGCACCTGCGACACAGGATTTCTTTTCTTTCAGGAGAAAATGTGCTTGAAAACGAAACATGCTACACCTGCATACGTAGCATGGCTACGCACTATAAAATTGGAATAAGCGCGCGCTATTTGTTTGAAAACGATTCTGCTAAATCATTACGGTGACAACTGCGCTCCGATTGGCGAGCCCGAATTTGAAACAATTGACGGGTGTCGTCCATTGTTTCACTTCAAAACGACCAGTTTAACTTGAGCTTTGCTATAATGGACGAAAATTGAAAAATTACATACTTAGTATATAATAACTGATGAAAATATGTGATTCCATTTGTTTTGTAATTAGATGTTTTGCTGTTTTCCCACACCACCGAATGGAGCAGCCCCCCATTGTTAGGGATATTATCTTTATTACAATAAATACAGAATATTTTTGGAATATACGGAGACGTACACACAGGTCAGTTGTTGGCGCTGTACTATTTCAGCGCAAACGAGAGTTGATATTTCAAAGTGATTTTTTTAGTGATTTGCCTGTTGAGTTGTCAGGGATGGATGGCCCTTATTTCGTCTCCATTTCTGGTTATATACTCGATGTTTATACACGATAATGTAAGGCCAATGTGTTAGTAATTAGTTACAAGATATTTAAGCATTCTCTTAGATTATCATAGCTTTTAAATTTTATATAATCCTAATTGAACAGGTACGACTCGCGCGTAGTAGGTCGCTACTGCGAGAAACGCGACCCCCACTTGGCCTGCGTAGCGTACGAGCGCGGACAATGCGACCGCGAACTCATCGCCGTCTGCAACGACAACTCGCTGTTCAAGACGCAGGCGCGTTACTTGGTGCGACGTCGCGACCAGGACCTTTGGCTTGAAGTGCTTTCGGAATCCAATCCTTTTAAGAGACAGCTTATTGATCAGGTAAATATAGGAGGAAAAGTCCCTAAAGGAGACAAAATGTCGACCCCTCCTACGTAAAGTATCGTGTGTCGAAATTGCCAAGTTTACAGGGGAACGTTATAAAAATCTGAACTCACTGAAGTGAGCATAACACGTGACTTTAGCATTTCTCAGTTTTATTCGGCAAAGCTTGTTACTCACATAGAGTATTATAAAATCCTAGATATCGGTTAGATGATCTATTAGAATATTAGATGATCACTCTGTGTGAGTGAGCTTTGCCGAATAAAACGGAGAACTTTAAAACGCTCCCCTGTAAACTTGGCAATTTCGACATACGATATTTTACGTAGAAGGGGTCGATATACTCTAAAATCTTCCCAAAATTTATTCACAAGTTAAATACAGAGAATGACGAAACTCGGAAAATTATTATGTTTAAGTTAAATAGCAAAAGTAAGCAAGATATAGTTTTTGTCGTTTTTGCATAAATTATGTTGCAAACTCTTTATAATATGTACTGTACGTTATTGGCGATTTCATTATTTTTCGGTATTTGAGGAGGAGGTTAAATTCTGTAGCAAAAGTTGTTGGCAGTGATGTGTAGAATGACCTCCTTAAAATATCCTGAAAACTAAAATATGCAAGCGTGTTCAAGCTCTACTGCTACTAAACGTTACTACTAATAATTACTCTTTTTGCTTTGTGAATTATGGGGTCATTGAAAATGAAAAAACATTTTTTATATTCCAGGTTGTACAAACAGCGCTATCCGAGACGCAAGACCCTGAGGACATCTCAGTGACTGTAAAGGCTTTCATGACCGCTGATCTGCCCAACGAACTCATCGAGCTGCTAGAGAAGATTGTACTGGACAACTCCGTTTTCTCTGACCACAGGAATCTGCAGAACTTGCTTATTCTTACTGGTAAGTAGGCCTATTATAACTTGACTGCCTAACGGCCGGTTTCTATATTTGATCCTGAATCTAAGATTGTTTTCTATCCAGACTTTGTTCGATCCATCGATCGCTGCCGGATCTGTATTTCAATATGTTTATCTTGGCTCTAGCGCTCTTAAAAAAAAGGATCGGTCGTAAATTTACTCCCTCTCTGACGTTTAATTCCACGCAACCGGAGTAAAAGTTCATTACATGAATTAGTGAATAAAATGTTATGTTTCTAAGATTAATTTATTTATACATGTGATGTTACATGCGCTTTTGGCAAAAATATAAATTAATTGCAAACTTTCAAGTATAAAATATTTATACCGTAAGTATGTCAAGAATGACGTGTTTCGCGGAACAGAACGGAACGTTTATTGTCAAACAACCGAGACTGCCATATAGATTGGAAAAAAATAAAGGGACGGCCCGCGGCGGCGGCGAAATGTCAGTGTCAATTTATGTTTTGTTGATGTTTGTTCGTATTCGTGACGTGATAAATTAATAAAAATACCGTTTTGATTTGACTTTGATAAATGGCATTATTTCATTTAACACAAATTCAACTGATGTATTGTTCAGCCTAAATTTGTATGTATATTCAGCGTCAGTTAAACGTGTCATGAAGTTTATACGCCTAAACGTTTTTGATGACTGTTCAATTGAATTGATCTCCTTAAGTATTTTTTATCTTCGTTATAAATGTATAACAATTTGTGACTATACAAATGCAAAGGTGTCTTCTCTAATAGGATTTTATGGGACGTCATTTCGTACATCAGAATGATCGAATATTAGGTAACGTTTTCCAAAGTGCGTACGTAAACAAAACTGACAATAGGATGCCTTTACCTGCTTATAGACACAATTTTTAATGTTTTTTATTGTTGAAAACTAATTTGTTATGATTTTCTTAGCAATAAAGGCGGATCGCAGCCGCGTGATGGAGTACATCAACAGGTTGGACAACTATGATGCGCCAGACATCGCGAACATAGCCATTAACAACGAACTCTACGAAGAGGCTTTCGCTATCTTCAAGAAGTTCGACGTGAACACTTCTGCAATACAGGTAAAAATAACCGTTTTAGTAACTAGCTACTAATAATAATAAAGTGCCGAACAACTGCACCAATTATCTGACCTCAAACTAAAGACTTCCCTGTACTTTGGTAGTCACCAAAGCAATGAAATTCGTTTCCCAAATTGGCCCTACCGGAAATCGAACCCACTGTGCTAACTGTTCAGCCACTAAGGTCTTCATATACTGGCAAATTAAACCTACTGGAATATAAATCGGTAACTCGTAAAAAAGCTTTTTACGTCAACAATAAACAAGATAACTTACAAATTGATAAAGTTCAGACTCTCTTATGAGTATTGTCATACTGTCATACATACTTGTGTCAGTAGAGAAATGCAGTCGTGTGATAGAGCGAGAAAACATCGTATATCTTTCTCGTTCTTTCGCATTATTTCTTCGTGGAGGACGTCTGATCTAACATTATTTATTCCAGGTGCTGATCGAGCAAGTGAAAGACCTCGAACGTGCGTACGAATTCGCGGAACGCTGTAACGAACCCGGTGTTTGGTCGCAACTCGCTAAGGCCCAACTGCAACAGGGCTTGGTTAAGGAGGCCATTGACTCCTACATCAAGGCCGATGACCCATCCGCCTACATGGACGTTGTTGCTACTGCTACTGAGGCAGGATCATGGGAAGACCTTGTCAGATACTTGCAGGTTGGTATCTTACTACTTCTATTTAGTTACAGAAAGACGCATGAGCCAATTAAAAATAGAAACGACTCTGTTATAACGTAATATGAATTTTGTGAAATGCCAATTTTTTTTAATAAAATAAAATATTTAATTTCAGACAACAATAGATCCATAAATAGTAGATTGTACAAGTGTATAAAACGCGTCATGCTACCCGAGACGAGTAGATCCACCCGAGGCGAAGGTGGATACTTAAGTCGAGGGTAAAATGGGTTTTATGAACGAGTAATACACTCTGCTTTTCACTACGACTGCGAGGAAATTAAACAGCAATATTACAAATAAACGATTAGTTCATTAAAATTGAACGTAAAATTACAACAATCCCGTCAATGTACTACTTTTTTTTTTCTACACATGACTCAGGTCGGAGGACTACATAATGCTCAGTTATATTTTACTAGCTTTTATTTTTTATGCATTTCTATGAATTTACTATTGTTTACTTTTTAATTTTGTAATAAAACACTAATAAAAAAAAAACTTTATTTTATAAAGTTCTAGTGTGCTTGGCCTTTGGCGCAGGCGTCATTGCCTCGGTCTTAACCGACGATTTTATTTTATGCACTAGAGCATAAAATCCTATTTTATGCAGCCTACAACCAGCATAAGTACGAACCTTAAGAGCATGAGAAGTGAAAATGTTAATATTACAAAAATTCAATATGATATTAGTACGCAAACTTTAAAAAAGAGAGGACCAGTGCCCCATCTATTTGCACCATCTGTCAGAATTCTGTGGTTGCTGGCGTGCACTCTACGCATCGACGTTGCGCACTCTGCACAGCGCTTGCGCAACGTCGCGCCGAAACCATTTTTTAAAAGATGTTTTCAACATTAATGCACTTTTTTGTTTACGAATATCTGACTTTGCCTCATCTAAAAATGGCAACCTGGGAACTATTAATTTCAGTGAATACGCTCTTTTATTAAACAGTTAATGATTTTCCTACTATGCAGGTAATTTTCCTATTACCTTCATATTCATTATCAACTAATAAGAAAAACTGTTATTAATAATAAACCTAATAAATATATTATAACACAACCTATTGGTATTGGTATTAATTTATATATTTTTTGTGAAAGTACTCTCTATCTTATCAATAATAACAATCTATTGGTATTAAGTAAACCCTATAATAAAACTATTTGAATTGGACAGATGGCCCGCAAGAAGGCTCGTGAGTCGTACATCGAATCTGAACTCATCTACGCTTACGCCCGTACCGGCCGCCTTGCAGACTTGGAAGAATTCATCTCCGGACCGAACCACGCTGACATTCAGAAAATCGGAGACCGTTGCTTCGAAGACAAAATGTACAATGCCGCTAAGTTGCTGTACAACAATGTGAGCAACTTCGCGAGGTTGGCTATTACTCTGGTTTATTTGAAGGAGTTCCAGGGTACGTATAATTTGTAAATTCCTTGAAACTTTATCGAAATGTGTTTAAGTCTTATGACAAAGCAAAAGTACCAATTTTTTTAGTTCCCAATTTCCAGCCAGTCAATTCCGACCAAAGATAGATTTCTTATGATTTTGATATCCACAAACAAATCAATACACGTGTACATAGTAATCACATAACGTTTTATAAAATGTTCTGTCATAATCAATTTTAAAATTTAGCTATCAAAGTTAGCGATGGGCGATAGTTACTAAAAATAATCGAATTATTCGATTATTTACATAATCGAAATAATTCGATTGTTGATATCAATTAGTTATTACACTTCACTTGATTGTTGATCAAATATCGATGTGAATCGAAATAATTACAAATTTTTTATTGGTAATCAAATATCGTAATAGTAATAGGACTGATTGTTATAAAAATTAGTGATAGGATCGATTGGTACTAAACATGTAATAAAAAAATTTAATTAGTAATTACTAGATTAGTAACTATCGATTATTTTTTGGTAAAGATGACTAAATCGAAAATCGTATATAGGATGGTGCAACTATCGTATTTATTCGATATTTTTTTTAGTAACAATCGTCCATCACTAGTTAAAATATTATTTAATCATATTGCTGAAGTATTTGGCGCTTGGTTAGCCTAAAGGAGTTGTAAATAATTTTTTAATGAAAATGGACTCTTATATACATAGTGATAAAATTTGCAGTTTAGAAATAATGTTATATAATCCAGGCGCGGTGGACAGTGCGCGCAAAGCCAACTCGACTCGTACTTGGAAGGAGGTGTGCTTCGCGTGTGTCGACGCCGGCGAGTTCAGGCTCGCGCAGATGTGCGGTTTACATATCGTCGTCCACGCCGACGAACTTGAGGACCTGATCAATTACTACCAGGTCAGATTGTTGCTCTTCATGACGCTTTACAAACCTATAAACTGTTTCCGTCCATTTTTACATTCAAAAGGATAATATTCTATCTATTGCTTTATAAAATATGATAATGACTCGTTCATAACAACAGGCGTATCTGACAGGCAAAGCAGAATCGTATACAGCGGGTACAGCTCGGTATCTTAATATTTTACTGGCTGTGCTATGTAATAATAATATTTTTGTTAAATAGAAAACTATCTTGAGACTCAGACGTATTAACTAAACAAACGAATAACTCGCGTATTTTAGTAGCAGTAGAGCTACTTGTGGAAGAGTTCGTCCAGAGTAGTACTGCCACCTTACCTATTTCCGCCGCCAACCTGTAATGTCAGCGTTACTGAGTTCCGGTTTTGAAGTGTAAGGGTGCCGGTGAAATTACAGGCACATAGGTCTTGTCAACTCATATCTCAGTGTGATGGGCTCAGTGGCAGTGCCCCTCAGATCTTTGCAATTTAAAGCTCTGAGTGGCACTGTCACTGTTATGGACATGCGTCTAGCTTACCATCAGGCGCACTTGTTTGTTCAGTCACTTGATATTACAAAAAAAAAAAAAAATTTAAGTCGAATTTTTGCTCGGCATGCTATGAACCAGTCCGTGGTCCTTAAACTTGAGATTTCGCGGCGGCGACTCGACGGAAACTGCACGCCAAAGCCCTGACAGCCTGGTCACTCAGCACGGGCGCGGCGGCGAGCAAACTACCCTCGTTTTCTTCTCTATTATTAAAGTGATGCGCAGGAATGATTTTAATTTGTTCATTTTCATTTTACTCTAACGTGAAACAAATGTTTTGTAGGACCGAGGCCATTTTGACGAACTAATCAGCTTGCTGGAAGCCGCGCTGGGTCTTGAACGTGCTCACATGGGCATGTTCACAGAGCTCGCCATCTTATACTCGAAATACAAACCCGCCAAGATGCGGGAACATCTCGAACTGTTCTGGTCGCGCGTCAATATTCCCAAGGTAAGAATATTTGCATTCATTTTTATCACTAGTAAATTTAAAATTGCTGTGTTTATTTTCAGCAAATAGTTGCTACACTGGTCTGTCTTTGGAATTATAATTACACGTTTTTCAATAAAAACATAATTCTCGACTTGAAAAAACGAGGATCTCAATTCCAATGTATTTTTTTGTGTGTATATTACGCAATTACTGCATTTGTGAACCGATTTTGATTATATTTTTTTAGCAATACATTTAGGCTATCAGCGCTAAAGTGGTGTAACATTTAATTTTTATTCTACACTAGTACTCACATAATTTAAATGAAACTAAAGTACACAATTATTTCATATTTCGATGGTATTTTCATGCTTAATAAAATTTGTTTATAAATTTTTTTTATACATGAAAATAGCATCTAAATATCAAATAAATATGTAGTAAAAGAAATTAAATGTGGGTTATACGCCACTTTTACGCTAATAGCCTCATATCGCTTAACGGCTTGCAAAACCTCTTCAATTACCTCTGAAATACTTACTTTAGCTACTTTAGTTTTTTGCGATTTCTGACAATTCGAGTACTCTTACCTCAGTTGGTCCCATAGAGACTATTGATCCTTACCAGAGACGGGATCAAACGGCGTAAAAAAAAGTTTTGTAAAAATTTCCTTTTATCTTGCTGACTGTACCATTTTTTCAAAATCTGTAAATGCCAATCAAAATATCTTCAAAATTCATGGGTAGTCTTCTACAACCGTTTTCCTGCAACTACAACGATTAAGGTGGCTAGCCTTGCTGCCCCGCCACACATTTACACCCTGTATAAATTACATAATAACACTTAATATCGAGTTCTTAGGTTTTCGCGATTGTTACACATAGGAAATGGTCACGGTTGACTCCCGACCGTGACCATAGGACCTGTAATGGGCCCGAAACGTTGGTTTATTTGAAAAAAAAAAAACAAATATATGCAATTTAAATTTAAATAGTTTTATTTCCTAACAGTTAGTACTATGAAAAAACTAAGTATAAACAAAACTCGAGAGTGTCAAGAAAATTTACTTATGTTCTTGCTCGGGCGCATAAAGATAGCTCACGTGACTTTTCAAGAGAAATTCGACAGCTTCGAGAAGAGATTATGTTTATCTGTGTTAATTGTAATCCTTCTGGTATTTGACCTTAGTCAACCACGTCTGAAACGTAATTAGCGACGACTTGCAATTCGACGTATAATTCGATTAATATTTACAGGTGCTACGCGCAGCAGAACAAGCGCACTTGTGGTCGGAACTAGTGTTCCTCTACGACAAATACGAAGAGTACGACAACGCAGCATTGACAATGATGCAGCACCCCACAGAGGCCTGGCGCGAAGGACACTTCAAAGACATCATTACCAAAGTACGTACGGTGAAAGTGTACATATTGCATATGCAACCTCCTACGTCTTTTTGGGATAAAAGCTCAAATAAATTTAAATAACATTTGTCTTAGATATTTATCTCAACCATACGTGATATCGACCATATCGGACTGTTAATATAATAAGTGTCTCAGAATCAATTACTCTCAAAAACGAATTACTCTCTTCCCGCAAAAAAATCGTTAAAATTTATATGTTGCATTTTTTTTATAGACACTTGGACGATTTCTCAAATATATTCAAAAATAAAATGGAAAAAATAATTTCATGTTTTTGAATGAGGATTTTTGGCCAGAACTAGCTCACATAAAGTGTGTCTCATTTTGAGTAAAGTAGATATCTTTTTATTGTTTCTTACAATATTCTAACGACGCTTTTTTTGACTTGTAGAAAATAAAATTTTACGTTCGGTAATGATATAATATTAAATTTCACATATTTTGAGCTACAACACTATTGTAATAGCAGTGCGATATGTACTACTAATTATTTAATTACATACAGTAATTGTTGTGACGTAGAAGTTAATTAAATACAATGACTACTATCTATCTAACTATCTTCTTATGATTATGAATACAAAGGTAGAACATACAGAAAACATTTTTCTTCCACTCGGTGGGACTTGATCCCACGTCCATGCTGCACGGACGGAGCCACGGGTCCAGTAGTGCGATTCACGTAATCAAACCGTTACGATACCGTAGCGATTTAGTCGTTGACCTGCTTTTTCGTAATCACGTGCGACAGTCGAACTTCAATGTGTCCAATTTTAAAGTCGTTCGATCCAAATGTCGTTAAAGCGCATCGAGTATACCGGGTGGAACAGAACGACCGACAAAGCGGAAAACTGTGAAGTGTCTTAAATATGTACTTAATTGTACTGAAAGTCTTTTTGCTCTAAGTGTAATAGTTTCCGAGTTATTCAATGATAAAGATTTGCTTGAAAAGTCTGTATTGTCAACCCTACATCATAAAACACAGCTGTTTGGAGGCAACTACCGGGAGGTACTCAGGGCAAAAACTTTGTAATTTAGTAGGTCGTTGACCTCCGTCGTTGATCAGCACCCCATCAGTCGCTTTCTTTGATCAACCACTTTCTTTGATCAGTCATCATGTGAATGATGATTAATTACGCGGGTATTTTATTGTATTACTTTGAGAGTAATTCACACCCCTAAATTGCGTGTTTGACGACCCAATATTTACATTTACCGAAAAAATGCACCTCTCATAGAATCTTCGGGAAACATGTTGTTTCTAAACCTTTGTAGGTAGTTTATGACAACGCATAGTTGACAGGGTCATTTAGACTTCACTTTTCTTAGGTTGTTGTCAACTTAAGAAAAGTGAAGTTTTCTAAATGACCCTATCAGGAGTTTAACTCATGTTGCCTGCGTCATAAGATAAGACTAACTTAAATAAACATAACTAAATTAAGTAAACACGTTCTACAACATGCGTCAAGTACCTACTCAAATTACAATAGTCTCGTAACCCTTAATCCGGCCCTAACGTAAAATAGTAAATTGAGGCAGCCAATCACGTCAGTAGAAATTTAGAGATGGACACTTGATAACTGTTATCTGTTTTTGCTAGCATAATGGGGAGATCGTTTTTTTTGTACTAGTCTATTTATGAATGCATTTGGAAATAGTTTTAATTTACACTACAAGAATTTACTTAAGAATTTACTAACTTTAAAACGAAGAGTTCATTCTATTGATATCAACATTTAAAACTAAAATTTCTGTTAACTTGAGCTGTGTAGTTGAAATTTTAATAAATGTAATGTAAAAATAAATAAATCGGAGGATCTTGGAGGTCTGCAGACCACCTCCACGTTTCGCTTTCTTAGTTTTGATTAAATTTGATTATTTATTACAATTCATTAAACGATCTGCATTTACTTTACTTTTACTTTTAAATTGCTCATGGTACTTATACCAGACAATACGATTATTGCGAAAGTTTTCTTTATCATAATTGTCTTTTTAAAATTAACATTTAGATATTTAATAATCAATGATATCCGACGCGTACGCCGCCGCCGCCGCGCGCATCTCTATGCAGAGTTGCCAATTAAGCGACTTTGTCCCTTTATGTGATGATTTGAAATCAAAAGCGTCTTTTATTTCTAGCGACAAAAAAAAATTGGTATTTTTTGACGCGTATTTAATTAGGTTTAATTTTATTTAATATTTTATTTTATAATTTAATATTATTTTTATCTTAGTATTCAGGAGTCTTTTACCTTTACTGGGACCATTCTGTTTAGTGATATTTGCTTTAGTCTAGTTGGTAACACTTTTTCATTCATAAATTAGTTCAAAATGCCTGGTTGTATGGTAACTCGTGGTCTCATGTTTTTCTCGTGTTTACAACAAAAAAACAACGTTTACTTGTTGGTTTTTGGGTTGTGACAGCAACTTTTTGGAATAATGCCGTTATTAAGTAGTGCTTGTGTTAAGCAAGTGAAATGTATTAGTGTGTTTGCGTGGAAAACCACATCGGCGTATGACCGGCACACCCAGGAATGTGTCTGGAATGTCTGCAAGAGTAAAGGGGACGTGGACAAATCGAACATCATTTTAATTTAAAGTAAGTTCAATGTTTTTTGATTACCTATTCAAGTGAGAGCACTTATTTCTTTTGCGAGTGCCAATGACACGAACGCCGCCTGTGGGGCAGTAGATGTACTAACACGATTGATTCACTTAGGGTTGTTGCACCGCGAAAGTTTTAAATCTGGACGAATATTTTTCAACTGCTCTGATTTTACATTTAAAGTAAATAAAACTCATGTATGTTGGGTTCTCAACGTGATATTTTCGGCTTTGTCGGTCGTTCCGTTCCACCCTGTATAACCAGAAATAGAGACGAAATGTCATTTAATTTATAATTACTGTGACAACTGCGCTCCGATTGGCCAACCCGAATTCGAAGCAATTGACGGGTGTCGTCAATTGTTTCACTTCAAATCGACCAGTTTTACTTGAGATTTGAGACGAAAATTGCAAAATTACATATTTAATGTTTAATTATGGATGAAAATTTGATTCCGTTTGTTTTGTAATTAGATGTTTTGCTGTTTTTCCCCACATCACCGAATGGAACAGCACGCCATTGTTAGAGATTCTAGATCTTTATTACAAGAAATACAAAATATTTTTGGAATATACGGAGACGTGCACACAGGTCAGTTGTTGGCGCTGTCTGTATTTCAGTGCAAACGAGAGATGATATTTATAAGTGATGTATCACTGATGAGTTACCAGGATTTATGGCCCTTATTTCGTTTGTATTTCTTGTTATATACCATGTTAAAGCGTGTTCTGGTATATGTCTCGAACTTAAATCGATTCTAAACGACAAGTCATACGTATTGTGCTAAAATTTTGACAGTTCTTTCAATAGATTTTCGACGACTAAACGTCAAATTTCACGATCCAAGATGTCGTCCATTCGTCGTTACGTTTCGATTCTATTCATACCAACGTTCGTTCAAGTACGTGATACGTGAATACCAATTTTGGATAGGTTTTCGATCGAACGACTACGTGACTTCAGCGATATTTTGATAGCTTAAACTTACGTGAATCGCACTATAGTGGAACTGGACCGTGGTTTGTTGGTGGCCGTGGTTTCAAATCCCACCGGGTCGATTAAATTTTTCTATGTTCGGTATTTGTATTCTTAATCGTAACGCACTTATCGGAGGCATAAAATGTAATGAGCTGTTGGAATCTCTCCTATTCTCAGTCAAGGGACTGAGTTATCCTAGACAAAAGGTACGAAAGATTTTTTGTATTCCCCCGTGTAGAACTAACCTAGGCCGGCACTCGCCAATTCACAAAATACTATTGAAATACAACTTCCTCACCGCTTCTGTCAATATTGACATTTTCCATGACTCGCATCTGCGGCTCAAACGTAAGTTGTTGGGCCACTTCATGGAGGGTATTGTTACTACTGAGTCTTAGAGGTACTAGTACTGTGCGTAAAGTGGCTAACTTAATTTATTTTATTTTTTAATATCTTTCTATGTTAATAACCTATGTTAGTGTTAAGTAAATAGTATTATTGCTCATGTCAATGCTGTGCATACCTGTAATGGGTCCTTACATTAGACTATGACCGGAAATGCAATATACAATTTGTTGGATGAAATAATGTACTATCTGTTGATGTGCCTAAATAAATAAATTAGTGGAGTGATTTCACAAAAAGTCTTAATAAAACACATACTTCTTTTTAGTTCGTAACTTAGCATACTTTTGTTAATTTTCTTTAGAATATTATTGATACAAAGATCGTTCAAAAAAAAATTCCTCGATCCGACTTTATTCGAACCAGCGTCTCTGCCACAACGTGGTTACCGCTCTTACCAACTGAGCTATGGAAGAAAGGAAATTTGTCAGTCTGTTTGTTGTGAAACTTTGTATAGGGTTTTTTTTATACACACAAGATTTTCGAGTGTGGTAACTTTTTCAAATTTATTGAATGTCACGATGTTTCACTACCATGATATTCAATGTTTTTTTTTAATTATTCCACTAGTTTCTTTTAATTATTAATAATAAAGATCGAACACTTAGAAAATTCAATCGATCCAGCTGGGTTCCAACCGCCACCCTCAGGCAATCCGTGCCAGACAGCTTTGCCACTTTACATTTGACCTTAATAATGTTTCTACTTGCTTCTTGCAAATGTTTTTTTTGGTTTTATATATTATAACGATTTTATTGCCTTAGCGCAATCTGTGAGAAATTTATTTCTTCACTCAAACTTAAGTATTATTTAACACCTTTTGTTTACCAGGTGGCAAACATGGAACTATACTACAAAGCGATCAACTTCTACTTGGACTACAAGCCACTCCTCCTGAACGACCTACTCCTCGTGCTTGCCCCTCGGATGGATCATACTCGCGCAGTCAACTTCTTCACCAAAGCCGGCCATTTGCAACTTGTCAAAGCCTACTTGAGATCCGTACAAAGTCTTAACAATAAGGCTGTTAATGAAGCTCTCAATTCCTTGTTGATTGATGAGGAAGATTACCAGGTATATTTATTGGTCCATTACAGACATTAGCAGCAATAGAACTCCTTGTGAAAGAGTTCGTCCAGGGAAGTACTGCCACCTTACCTATTTCTGCCGCCGAACAGTAATGTTAGCATCACTGCGTACCGGTATAGAACGGTAAGGGTGCTGGTGAAATTACAGGCACATGGGGCTTGTCAACTTATAAGTCAGGGTGACGGGCGCAGTGGCAGTGCCTCTCAGATCTTTACGATTTAAAGCTCTGAGTGGCACTGCAGCTGTTATGGACAGGCGTTTAGCTTACCCAGTGGCGGATTTGCCCTAAGGCCCAGTAGGCCCGGACCTAGGGCGGCCAGATTTAAGGGGCGGCGGCCAATCGTGAATAAATTTGAATTATTTAAATCTTTTCAATTCATTATGTAGTCTACCAGTATATGATGAGTGCTGAGAAAGGGGCGGCTGGTACTGACTACATGACCTGGAGCCCAGTGCGACCAAGTTTGTAAATCCGCCACTAAGCTTATCACCAGGCACGACTTGTTCGTCCCGTCACTTGATATTATTTAAAAAAATGATATTTTTTCATAATTAAAGTATTTGCGTTCACACAAAACATTGACCAGGTAACCTATTATTTGAATGTTAGTTGCGTTATTCGAGTTGCGTAATATACGCTGCATTCGGTTTCATAAAAGTCCGTGTATGCCACACGACGACGAAAAATGTGTTGTGTGCCGATTCACGCGCATAATTAATTTTGGTCGCACCATGTGTCGCTATGGTGTGGTTGGAGGAAAAAGTGAGGGAAGTGGTGGTATCTTTGCTATTGGATGCGCGTGATTAGACACGTTCCGTGCTCCATTACACTGTTATGGCTCAAACACCCCGTACAAACGCTTAAAAGCAATTGAATGAAATAGTTGGTCAAAAAGTTCGAAAAAAAGTAATGAGAGACTTATATGGAGTCGTTTTTTTTTATTCATAAAGTCTTGTACATTTTCATAACCACAATTAAAACCTAATTGTTTGTACACTGACTACAACTTTATAAATTTATTTAATAGGGTCTTCGAACGTCGATAGACGCATTTGATAACTTCGACACTATCGCACTGGCTCAGCAACTTGAAAAGCACGAGCTCACAGAGTTCAGAAGGATCGCCGCTTATCTATACAAAGGTAATATTTTAAATGATGAAATCCTACAATGACCATACTGACAATTATTGAAATAACGGATAGATTTCTAATTCAACGTAAAAGAAATTGCGTTTTCCGGGTGTGGTGCTTTAGAGTTACTTTGAAGTAAAAAAAAAAGTATTGTCACTTATAAAGCTATCTCGTATGATACAACTGTCCAATAACGTAATAACAGAAAACAGTCAGAAGGCAACTGTATGCATTAAGCTTTAATATAATGTTAATCTTAGGAAAACTCAGTTAAAGACAAACTATTGTGGGGGTAAATGTCATTACTACAAAGGCAAGATTCATATCTTAAAAACAGAAAATCGTATAGTCAATTTAATCTATAATTACTTCTATACAGGCAACAACAGATGGAAGCAGAGCGTGGAGCTGTGCAAGAAGGACGCATTGTACGCCGACGCAATGGAATACGCGTCCGAGTCGCGCCAACCCGAAGTCGCCGAAGAGCTTCTCAACTGGTTCCTTGAGAGAGACAACTACGAGTGCTTCTCGGCTTGTTTATACCAGGTTTGTTTATAACTTTGATTTAAAATGTTTAAGGCCGAAAAAACAAGCATTCTATTTGGATTATGATAGAACCATAGTTAAACAAAACTTTGATGTATAAAAATAATAACTTTAACTGTACATACTGAGCAGCAAGTAAAAATCCTGTGCAATAGGAATGTTGTTTGGGAAAAGCATCCGGTTATTTGTGTCGAGGAGACAATTTGGCATAATGATAGAAACTTCGTTACAAATTTGCAACGTAACAATAGAACAAAGTAGACCGAGAAAAGAAGAAATTTACGTATCCACAACAAAGAAAAAGCGTCGCATGATAACGAATTATTTAATTCTGTTTTTCAGTGCTACGACTTATTGAAACCAGATGTAGTCATCGAGCTCGCATGGAGGCATAACATTATGGACTTCGCTATGCCCTTCCTTATTCAGGTAACATTGTAATACCGACTGGATTTGAGCTGCCTAGAATTTTTTTTAAATGAAAACAAAAAAAATATTTCAGACTACTGTTACATGTCCTTATAATGTTGGTCGGTGCTTACAACTATGTTCGTAGAATGCAAAGTGTTCATTTTCATGAAAAAGGATGAACATCCAATATTGGGTTGTCCACCCTCTTACGAAGTAATGTCTTCATTAAGAAGATTTATATAATGTATTTAATTTCCGTTTGTCGTGATAATGCCATAGACGGTGCGCGAGTTAACAACAAAGGTTGAAAAGCTGGAAGAAGCGGACGCCAAGCGTAGCACCGAGAGCGCCGAACAGGAGGCCAAGCCCGCCATGATGATGGAGCCACAACTCATGCTTACCGCCGGTATATATATCGCTAAAACGTTACATATAGTTGCCTTACTTTCTCAAAATCGTATGTTAAAGCACAAAGTTACTGAAATGCAAAAAATGGATTGTATATACAAATTTTGGTGGCTGATTTCACATGACACTTCCTTCATATTCACACACTGGCTTTTACCTATTCTTAAAGAAATGCATCCAAATTAACACCCTTGATAAGAAATTCAAAATAAATAGAAAGATTTGCCATCTCCTGAATAATCACTCTTTATAAGGTACGAGTTGGAGAAAGTAAGGCATCGATATTGTACCTACGTGATGTGATAGAAAACCTATCTATTTATAAAATTCTCTTTTAACATTTTGCACGAAACACCGTTTCGCTGTTTTTTCTTCAGAACTGCAGCAGTCCTGCATTGTTATCAATATTGTTCCACAGGTCCTTCCATGGCATACGCAGGGGTACCACCGCAGGCGTCGCCGTACGCGTACGCCGCTCAAGCGCCGTCACCGGCCCCCTACCACGGCTACGGCATGTAGGGCACTGCCTCCCCACAATTGTGGGGGAGCTACGCTCATTTTTGAGCCATCTACAGCCATCATTGGCCATACCGCCCGACTTGTGTGATATCACAGTGACACAGTGAAATTTTATGACGTGATTCTTAGTGGAGTAATGTATAACAAGTGTTAATAAAACCGCTAAAGTAAGTGCACGTCTTTACACTTCTAAAACGTGGAATATATCTGTAAACGTTTCCAGTTATAATCACAATTTAAATAAAATTTGATGCGTAGAAAATACTGCTTCAATAATACAATCGAAATGAGAGGTAGGTACTTCAGTGTTATACTTCTCGTATCTCATACATCTTGTATTGATAACTATTCGTAATGTCTGTATTAGCATTTTGTAAAATTAGCAAATTCTTTACAAAAACACACAAGTCTGCGGTCATTATTCAAATTAAAGCAAACAATAATCATCTTTAATATATTTGCTCTATAAACCAGTTTCCTATAAGGATTAGAACAATCTTATGACATAACATATTGTTTAAAACTTTACCAAGGCCTAAGACTTTATTTTCAATGCAAATGCTTGAGATGAAGTCGCATCTTACTGATGAAGTCACATTGCTCTTATATAAAAGAGATACACCGGTTTTTGTGCCGGGACTTTAATTATTTGTAGTTAGGTCAAAATCGCTACACAGTTGACCTGTACAAAGTAATTCGATTATAAAGGGAGCTCTCGTTATAAAGTGCTTTATTTGTAAAGCAATGAGAGTTTATACACCATTAATCTTGTTATGGCTTAGCATAAAGGATTTCGACTATTAATACAATAAAAATAAACATTTACAACAATTTTAGAACACCAGTATTTATAAGTCAATCTTTTACTTTTATTGACCACCACCTCACCCGATAAATATGGAGCATACTTATCTAGAAAGTGCCTATTTATTCTCGCCTTTTAAAGGAAGATGTATTGGGGAAAAGAACATAAGCAAACAAATAGATTGGCATCTATGCAATTATTTTGGCTGCAATTCAGTTTATTGTAATAGTAGTAAGAATCTGCTTTCGTAGGATCGTTTTGATAGGCGACATGCATGCCAGAGCGGAAATTCGTTTTAAGGAGTGCTTGCTTACTGCAAAAATACAGTAAGAATGCACCTCATAGCGTTTCTGAGTACCTTTAAAGCAGTAGAGTAATTTCAAATTAAAGTTTGTATTATATTGGGTCGTAAAGATTAGGGATGCGACTAAACGTTGCGTAGAATTTGTCGCCCGCCATTATTATGGTGTATAGTGTACAGAGATCGCTTCGTTTACGTCCGAAATATTTCGTTATCATTTTGAATAATAGAAAATTTCTGTATTATTACTTTAAAAAAATTTGAATATATGGGCTTAACTCCTCTATTTAGCACCGCACCTACCCGTACTAAAGTTTTTAGGGAACATTAGCTTCTCATAATATAATGCGTCCTGGATTATGGGGTCCAGCCTCAATTAAGTTTTTAGTTCAAGAATCCGAACAGTGGCTGCGAAATTAATTTAAATGTACAAAATCAATCGAAAATCATGTTTCAAAAGTTGACTGTATTGTTGTATGTATATAATGCTTTCTCGTTATAGACTACCTACTTCAACTTCGCCAGTTGAAATCTAAATTTGAAAAAACTTGCAGGAGACAAGTGTATGGGGTGTTAACATACTTTGTCAAGCTGTACATGTTTCAGCTAATCAAAGAATCAGGTCATTAGAACATATTGTAACAGTACTGTGGAAACATCTTCAAAACCTACAACACTTCTGTTCTAGTGTTTCTAAGCCTCTCGTACATTTTTCTCTTAATTCTTTACATTGAATTATTCGAGTGTTAAAATAAAAATTACGATTATTATAATTACAATGATGATAAATAAATATTTTCTAAATATGTCTAGGTTTAGTTTAGGCGGAATTAGTGGTACGATGTTATTATATTTTTGAGTAAATGCGGACGTGTATGAAAGTATTTGTAACACTTGCTAAGCTGTACTTGAACCAGGTTTGCTATTTTGCAAGAAGCAAACATGAGGTACTCGAGTATAGACTTTATACAAGTGAATCACGCGTGTTGCTATAGTAAGTTGTGTTTATCACCTTAATTGATGCCTTCACTAGATAATTAAGTCATATTACTGGTGATCTGGGGAATAATCAACTAATCATTTATTTATAGAGATTATTTTAACCACCACGACTTACTATAAGAATGACCCCAGAATGCCTTTTAGTGTAGAACAGCTCCACATTGCGTTACTCCCTTCGCAAGAAACATAATTGCGAGTTGGTATTAATGATGAATAGTGAAACATCATTAAATGATTCATTCAAATCATTCCTAACATTAACGATTTATACAAGAATTGTTACTATTCCTTATTTTCTTTTGTAACAAAATTTATAACTTAAAACAGAAAGTTCATTGTTCTATTATTAGTATTGTATTTAGTCATGTATGATACTGTTTCACTGAATTTTATTATAGTAAGATATATTATATGAATAAATAAATTAAATCGCCTCTTGTTTTTCTTTCCCAATAAATTTGTCTAGCGAATTCCTATTGTTCTTAGCTTATAATTCATAAGTGACAAAACATTTTTTTGAGATATAAAAAACCATAACCCAGTTTTAGAATATTGAAATTGTTTAATGATATTTCAGCTAGGCATCGTAAGGGTAAGTTCCGACAAGTCGTTGACTAATATAAAGAACAAAATTTGTGCTCTTTTTCTATTTAAAACGGCTGTTTGACCTTTTGTCTTTCAGCCGCGTTTAGTGAGTGGACGGTAGATATCTTCTGTATATGCGTGCTTATAACTTTTGAACGGCGGACCGACTTGAATAAAGACTTCATCTGGCTAGTCTAATTTCCAAAACTCGACCACGGTCACGCTAAAAACGAGCGCGTGCCTTGCTCGTTACTGGTACTCGTTTGAATAAAACTACGCAAGTCATACGATCAGGCTCACTATAGGAGAAAATAATTATAGAGGAAATGAAACTATTTTTTCGGAATCATACTCAAAGGACTTGAGTATGATTTCAAGCACTGGAAATACGCCCCTAATGGCAAGGGCTTGAGTATGATATCTAGTGCTTTAAGTCCTGACTTGAGCATTGAGTTGAGTTCTGGAATACGACCCTTAGGGTCGTATTCTAGAATTCTACTCAATGCTCAAGGCAGGATTGCAATTGAAACACGAGCACTGGAAATACGACCCTAATGGCAGGGACTTGAGTATGATTTCGAGTGCTTTAAGCCATACTCAAATCCTGACTTGAGCATTGAGTAGAGTTCTGGAATACGACCCTTAATCGCGTATAATTGTTTTTTTTTTCAAACAAACAATAAATTCGAAAAAACAGTTTCATTTCGTAATGGTTTCCTAATGTATAATTATAATTATTAATACATCGAACACTTGGAAAAAAAATCCTTCGGTCAAAAAAAAAAAAAAAGGGCCGGATTCGAACCGACCGCGACGTCTTCTAGCAAACAAATAAGTTAATAATAAAACAAGTTCTAAAAAATGGTTGGTTTTTGTAATAACGGTTTCTACATGAATTAATTTTTAGTTTAAGTATAAACGT